ACACACACACACACACACACACACACACACACACACACCAAACACACTCAAAATCCTAATGACCACTTCTTCAGCGATGGAGCTCGGCTGGATTATCTCTCTCTCTTGAAAAAAATTTTGAGATCGATTAATGTTATCTTTTTTTCTTTTTTTTTTTTTCTTCTCGTCACAGAAACTGCCACCTGAGAATATAAACAAATGGAAACTTTAATGAGAACTTGCCTGGAAAGCCCAACTCGGCGTTTCTTGGCAAACTGTCAGAGGATTTTATCAGTTAGGAATCCATGGAGCCTTTCTACTGTGCAATAATTTCTGTATTTATTGGATTTTTGTAATGATATTTGGCATGTGCAGGTACATCTTTGTTGGATTTCATATGGAGTTAGTTTTAAAATGTGCTAAAAATCTTTTTTTTTTTAACAATGCGATAACTGAGAAGAGACCACCATTAATACAAATTTTCCTTTTTTTTTCCTTTAAGGAAACTTATTAACCTGTGAGAGTAAAATTGTGTAAAGCAGTTAGCTTTTAAAAGTAAAGATAATTGTTTTCTATATGACCTGCAGCAGCGGACTACAATCCATTCCTTCATACAGGCCTAAAAGCACTGAATGTCAGCCTGACAATAAAAAAACCATACTGGATTTTAAAAATCCAACGTTATCTTTTTAGACCTGGTAAATTGCTATTCGTTTATTCAGGGAACTTTGTCCTTTTAAAAATTGGCAAACTTTGAGTAGTTTCAATGTGCAGTCCCTGTACTGCTGTCCTTGCTTCAGAGGGGACATAAATAAAGGTTGCACTTACTGGAGATACCCTTAATTGATGCTTTGAACATTCCCAGTGTAGGATTTAACCACCATATGTAATGTGTTGAATAAGTTAAGACTACTTGTGATTAATGTGAGAAGGAGAACAGTCCTGTCCATGGTTTGTAAATATATTCTTTTTTTTAAATGTTAAAGCAGCCCTGACTGTACATGGAAGATGGCCTAAATCTAAACAATCAGAAAATTAGCTGCTTGCATCATCCACAGTATATGCTACATGTAACTACCATACATTGTTTCTTTATCAAAACCCAGTTGATTAGCTCCTTACAAATCCACCCCGTGTGTGAGTCAATGGTAATTTGTACGACAAAAGCTACTTCGGTTGTTATACCACACTCTAAACCACTCTTCATCTCCGTCTTGCATCTGTTGTGGCAACGCTCTTTGACCCAGGTCGACTTCCTGTCCTCCCTCCCCACAACCCCCTCCACGAAGACTCACAAATAGATTTCAAACGAAAGTCCGATAAATATGTGTTAGCGCGTGTTCTCCTCCTCTCGGCGGCGTGCTCTAAGCCTCTCTCCTCGGCAGCGTCTTTTCACAGTTCACCAGCTCAGACTCATGCTTTGGAGCAGCCTTTAAAGGGAAGCCTGCTCACTCGCCTCGCGCAGTGATACGGGTTTAACTGCAAGTAACAGATTCCGAGACAGCGTACGTGTCTTTTGGGGATTACGGTTTTTATTTTCTGCATCGTTCATCCTGAATTGAATCTGGAGCTGAATATAAAAAAAAAGGGAAAAGAAAAAGGGCCATATGAGTTATGGTAATTTCTGAGCACAGCTGTGCTAGGGGATGGCCAGGCAACCTTGAGTAGGGGCTATTCTTATAGTAAAAATGAGAGATTGGAGCAGAGAAATGAAGATGTGTGAGGGAGAGAGAGCAAGACCTTGACCAAGGAGAATAGTCATTCAAATGAAATTGGAAGCATATGAAACATATTTTTTTGGTACCCAAATGCACATCTACTGGCCACAGACCATCAGAGTGAGACAGAGTGAGCGTGAGAGGGAGGGAGACAGCAAACCACATGAAAGGAGAAGGAGACGACATCTTTCATTTTAGCACTGCTACGCTCAGCCATCAAAATCATCATCATCTTGAAAGTTTGACCTGCAATTTTGGCCTGTTGTCAGGTTTTTTATCTCCACCACTTTTCTTTTATAAAAAAAAAAAATTCCGTGGCTTTAATTGTTTAATTGCAACCCCCCCCCCCCCCCCCACCCCGCTCCCATACCCTGTTTGAAAAAAAAAAAAAGATTTATGACTCCTAGACAGGAAATGTTGAGGCCACGAGAGCTCCTCATAAGCTATGTTGTTAGATTTTAGCAAATTGACGCTGAAAGCAAGTCCCGCCGAACGGCTGCTTGGGATTTGCGTTACTGAGCAGATAAATAAGTTCCGAATTCAAGGTGCTGTTTCAAACGCGCGGCGTGCCGATTCCCGGTTTCGAGGAAGGCCGCGATGAGCCGCGCAAAACCCACTCAGATGACGAGCAGTGGAAAAGACCCAAGAGACCCAAATCACACATGGACATTCAGTCTCACAATATGTTTACAGTGTTGAAGTATGCCATTAATTAAATACTCTGTATAAGTGTTTTAAGATGATGAAAAAGTATTGTTTTTTCTCAAATGTCCATTCAAAAGATTTAAATGCCATAGCAGTTTTGTACGATTATCCTGGTGGAGGGGTTTTATCTACATGAATATGTTTCTGTATGATTGCTTGGTCACTGTATGGACAGTTTTTAAATGTAATATTGCAAAGTCATGGCAGATTCTAATGACAGTAGTGCCATTATCGACTTCTGATATTTTTTTTTTCTTTAAATTCTTACTCTTTTCATTATTTTTAAAAAATATGTATTATTATATTATTTTTTTGCCTCTTTTGATTTGGTGAAGCTATCCTTCATGGATATAAAACAAAGTGATTGCAAAACAAGGAGAAAAAACCCTTAAAGAAGAGTCTTTGGCAGAGGAATATGATGGTTATGGGCAGGAATGCTTTTCTGAATGAATTTTTCCAGACATTCATGGACATTATGCTTTGCTGTATTTTTTTTCTCCTCATGGTTGGTTGAAGGTCTTGTGATGGCACTTACAGCTGTAATTTTGGATACATTTTCATACTTCACTTTTCACAACTTTCACTTACACTCTTTGTACAAAATTGTTTCCTTGTTCATTTTTTTTGGGGTGGGGGGGTGGGCGGCGTGGGAAGTGCATCATTGTGAAAAAAAAAAAAAGTGATTTCAGAGCGGTACACATCTGCTGTTTTGAACATATATGTATTTTTGTAATGTGTTGAAAAATCAATACAAGAAAGCCAACACTCCAATAAATGTTGCAATTGCTCTATCATTGAACCATCCTTTTATTCTGATTTTTTCTCTTTTTTTTGTCACACGACCCATACACGCGAGCTAAGCTGGAATCACATCCAAAACCAGCTGAGTAGCTCTCTTTTTCGGACATATGAATACATACACGGCATTACTTTAAACAGCAAAAGAGCTAGAAAGAAACTGACATATTGTTGGATCACTGTTTAGTGTTATTACTGCACACATTTGCATTTTTCGTTTTTCACCATCAGGCACTGATGATGGAGTTGGACTGCTGTCTAAAATTTTTTGCACAGCCGCGTGCAAAGATTTTTTAGTGGCTCTGAATTCTATGGTGGCCCAGTCGTTTCCCAAAAATATGCACCGTGCTTCCTGAGTCACCGTTTTATGATTTGAGCAGGTGAATGCTCGGGTTTGGTGGAATAGTTATTTTTGTTAACGGAAGTTCCCAAATCAGTTAAACCATCTGGAAGAATTTAAGCCGCATGTGATTCTCCACATATAAGGGGAAAGGAGCACCGGGCCTTCAGTTGCTATCTCCATTTGATCAGGAAGCACTTGGGCATCCTTTTTGACAGAAAAGAGAAAATCCTCCCCCACAATGCCTGACAGCTACAGCTTAAAAGAAACAACAAAACAACTTGATTATAATTTTATCCTCATGTACAAAAAATGTACAAACAACGTCATCCACAGCTGTTTTTAGCCTAATGCGTCTGGGAAAAAAAGGAGAACTGGTATAACCAGACAAAATAATCTCTTTTTCTTAATCAATCCAGAAAAATAAGGGTCCTGAAAGGTCTTTAGAAAGTTAGAGGTTTGCTTTTTCCCCAAATAGATTAATAGATATTTTCCCCCTCAAGTGCTTTGGAGTTACACAAGAAAGATTATCATAAGTTCTACTGTTGATGCTCTTCAGTCTGATTAGATAAAAAACCTGAAGTGGTCTCCAATTACTAAGACTGTCATTATCTAAGGTGACCATTCATTGCTCTCTTCCTCATTTTATTTAAAGAACTGTTTTGTTAGTTTACGTAAACTTTTGTGAAGCAGCGTAACAGAACACTAAGGTTTGGTCTGGTCTAAGTTATGACAAAGTACTCACTTTAATGGCTGCAACTTTTTGTTTCCAGTGTAAGAAAAAACCCTACATAACTAATCACATTACCGTCACATTTAGTTAAAAAGCCAAGAAAATTATCTGTCACATTACATTAAAATAAAATACAAGAATTAGTCATCGTGTATGGTTCTCAGATCGGGCAAAGGCTGACCCTCTGTGCCAGTCCTGAAGCAGCCTCTGGCTGAAGATATTCACGTTCCATTGCCATTATATTGTTGGTGTTCAGGATTATCCACCGTGTAGAGAAGCCTTTACTATATTTTTCTTTCACGTTCAACTCCAGGACCCAGCGAAAAGCCATTCTTCGTTGTTCAATTTCTTTGAGTTGCTGGCTCTGACGCTGCCGCCCTAACAAATGGCTGAAAAGTACCTGCAATCGGTAAATGTAAAGTAAGTGGAAACAGATTCAGTGTTGCTTTTCCAGACCTGCTGCCTGTTGAGTTATCATTACGCAGACATTTTAAAGGAACTTTGAAGTGCATGTTTTTCAAAGTCCGACAATGCCTCATCATATTTTGCAAGGTACATTAAGTTGGGTCCGAACATAATTGGGTGAGTTAGGTTTTGAGAACTACATTGCTAAAGTCAGACAGTGTTGTTTATCGTCCTAGAATATCCTTTCCCTGAATTACCAGCTGCTGAGTCTAAACAGTGTTGCTTCCTCAAGTCTGCCGCTATTTCAGAATTTGATTGTTGTCTGTGACTCAGATATTTAAATAAGGATTACCTCTTAAAATAGACTGTAGTCAGTTGTGTCATGGAGAAGATCGTATCGTATAGATTTATGAACTTGCACCTGCATTATATTTTCTACATTAGCACAAAGTAGGATGACTGAATTAACCTTTGACACAGAATTTAGTGTTTGTTGAGGTTGGAACAACAAAAATGATAAGGGTGTCGAAAATCCATTGTTGGGCTGTACACTAACTCACTGGCTACATTGTGATATGCGAGGTCATGGCGTTGTCATCACTAGCTAGGGTTGGGCTTGTCATCCTAGTAAACAAACAGTCTTGTTATCATGCAAGTGGAGGCCAACTTACCACAATGAATGCGAAACCTGATTTGTGTGTTCCATCATCGAGCAACACTGCTTTCACTTGCTTTAGTCTCACTGTCGCTTCAGTTTCCCAATAACCCCTCCTTAAGATGAGTAAGCACATCTACTCGGAATGAACGTCACCGTTCCTGAAGTGTCACAGCCAATTAGCTCTAGCTAATGCACTACATCTAGTTATTCTATAGGAAGTACCATTAAGACGGTATAGCTACCGATCACCACCTTCAACCAAAATCTGCCTTGTGGTGGTTGGACCACGTTTGTAATTCACAGAATGGATACAAAGAGGAATCAGACGTGGTCAGAAATGTCTAGTAACCTTTGTTTTCCTCCACAGTTATAGTCCACCACTAATGATGGCGCGTTCAAAGACATTCTAGGTTTTTGTGTAGAAGAATAAAATCAAATAAAAAAAATCTACCCTGACTTTGAAAATGGAAAGAAAATCATATATCACTCAGGCGAGCTTGCTTTTCAACGTGTGCACGTGGCTCGCGTTGCTTTGTGTCCTCAATTGAGGCAGAGCTTGTCACGGCCACTTTGACATGTAAATTGAACACTTTATGCACCTAAACCATGTAAGGTAGATTTGAAGGTTGCATTCATTTTACATATACTTACGAGACTTGCATTCACTATAAGATTTCACCCCAAAGTAAGAGTGTGCAGCAGAGTGGGGGGTGGGGGGGGGGATCTTTAACCAGATCGCACTTAGGCCACCACGGTTCTCTGAAAAGCACACAGGCGATGTTGTCCTTTGGCGTTTCTTCAACAGAATAACCACGAGATGAAATAGAACAGGTGACGGCTGAATCATAAAATGCGGTTCTCTGCTGGATCTCTAAAAGTTGATGTCTGTGTTGACATCTTTATGGTCAGAATTCAAGACAAATCCAGCACGTTGTCGATAAGGAATGTTGATAGCTTGCACCCAATGTCATCGAGGCAAGACAAGACACAGACCGTCGGTTAGCGGTGAATTTTGATCAGGATCGGTCAAATTCTATTTGTCATATCATACTGTGCGACCAGCATATGGGTTAGAAATAAAAAGAGAAAAAAAGCATAGTCGAAGTAAGAAATGAGAGTAAGTGCACCCCCCTTTATATACCATGAATGTGACATGTGGATTTTACAGCTGAAAGTAGCTGTTAGCGGTCTCACGCTTCAGAAATGAGTCCTGGCAGGAGTGTAGGGCCACATCAGGTATTTCTTGATATGGGGCCAAGAGTAGTCAAGTCTGTCCTCACTTGAGCCTCCGGGCCATTGGATAGCATAGCTGAAATAGTGTGTGTGCATGATGGGTGTGTGTTTGTGCAAGGAGAAAGTTCAAGAACAGTAAGGAGGGCAGTTGGGTAGAGACAAGTCAACAGAAGAGGGGAGACACACGCGAACAGGACAGGTTTGTTTGAGACAAAGTCCTATCGGGAGAAAACTTTAACACTTGGCAGCTTTTGCTACACAAAACCAACCAGGAACTGCTTAAGAGTAGACAAAAATATGTTAATTACAACAAAAAACATCGAACAGTCAAATGTGCCGCAACAGATCTCCCACGCGGGAGATATTGGGAACATATTGTGACTCTCTTTTGACTCTGTGTGTATGTGTGTATGTGTGTGTGTTTGTGTGTTTGTGCAGGAAAGGCTAACATCTGGGTGCCATGTTGACTCTGGCCTTCTGGTCAGCAGAAATGTGCGTGTTGTGAAAATGTCGAATTACCACAGCTCCTCTCCCGGCGATGTCATTACTATTGACTTAGGAGTTGGACGAGCACGCTTTTCGTGACTGAGAGCCAGTCGACAAGAGCAAAAAGAAACAGAAGAGGAAAAGCAGAGACTCATCAACGGTGGGAAAACAATGCCGTCTTTCACCGGCCAAAAACGCCCAATGTGTTAAGCTTCTATATGTGTGATCAGAGGCCGCAAAGACACATTCCATCCACTTCTCTGCCACCAGCCCTTTTTTGTACACTTTCCATCAAACGTGTGTCAAACTGTATGCTGCTCCATGGGGAAAAAAAAAGAAGTGGCCTAAAGAACCATTGTCATGAAGGTGTTCTTCCCTTCTCAGCTAGCTCTAGATAGAGGCCGACCGTCACAGACAGAGAGTCGCAGAGATGAGATTGGAAATCATGATTTGGAGTAAAACCGCGTCCTCGGGGAAGAGGGTGTCAGCAGGGGTTGTGGTTCAGGTCCAGGGCCACACGGCACCACAGAGTCACCGCATCGACCCCTTCTTTTCGCTGGATCACAGGGCTCAGGTCCCACGGCCTCCTTTGTACATATCCAGTTACTAATCTAAATGCCCTGACCAGTACACAGTCAAAATGACGCTGCCCGCCCAAAGAACAGACGGGACTTCGCCCTGCGACGGAGCGACCAGAGTAAATCTGGCCCAGCTGCCTGGCTCCTGGGAACGGGGGCAAAAAAGAAAGGGTTTTGGAAAAAAAAGATGCAGGGAAGTGGGGGAATGGTGAACGGAGCAAGGGGTAACTTAGAAAGTGTGGTCGGGACGCAGAAAGCAGTGTGGTCAAGCGTGGTCACTCAACAGCCGCGGTTTGGAAATAGTCTCTTCTCTAGGAGATCTGACCCAGTGGAACAAAGGCTCTGTGGTTGACTTAAGCATGTAACTAAAGAACAGGAAATGCAGTTTCTTTTTTTTTTTTTTTCCTCCCAGGGAGAAAATCTCTAAAGCCACTCAGTGGGAGGTTTTGGTCTCTCACAGAGCAGTCATGTCATCGGGCATCAAAACGGCTGCAAACTCAAAACAGTAATGACGACTTTTGGTCCGTTTTAAACGCTGGCCTCCCGGGTAGACGATCACCCAGCCACTGGAGGACGATTGAAATTCCGGGCATGTATTTTGGGCTCGGTGCATTACGAACGATATTCGAAAGTAACTGGGTTGAACAGTGGAAACACCTGATGTGATCAGCAGCGATTTCCTCTCAATTCGTCCCGTTGTTATCTCTGCGAGTGCTCAGCCGGCCATGACTGCACAAACCCATCTCTGCGCCGGCCGTCGCCTCACCACCGAGACACATTCAAGCAAAACTTTTATTTATCTTTGCGCTGCTGCCACACCCTCACTGTCTGCACATACGAGTCTGCTCCTTTCATGTCCCCCCCCCCCACCCCCACCCTCTCTTCTTCACTTTTCCATCTCTTATTACCTCAGTTCTCGCTCTCGGCCTTCGTCTAAACTGGTTTCCTTTAAATACACTTTCCTTCCCCACAGATTTTGTCCCTCCGTTGATTTCACAGACAAATTCTTCTCTCCCGCTCTCCTTTTAGTCTCAGTGTCAAGATAATTCCACTGGTGTCAGACCTCCCAGGTGGGCCTAGACAAAAGTGAGTCGCTGACACGGTGGGGGGAAGAGACTCTCCGCCCGGCTTCCTGACGCCTGATCTGCCCCCCCCAACAAACACATGACCGCCGCGCCTCCGGGGGGTCAGTGTCACTGTTGACATTGGACACATGCTCATCGCGGTGCGATATTAAATCTTCTCATTGGATTTGGACTGTAATTATGTCATAAAAACAAACTGGCTGTGAAGCCGTGGCCCGCCAGTGTGATCTACTTTCATCGAGTGCAGACTGGCTTAATTACAGAGTGCGCCGCGCACCCGCCGTTCACTGGGCAGCCTTTCCTGCCGCTTCTTCAAGTTGTCACGTTCTTTTATTGTGCGCTAATCACAAGGCAATTGGTCTGCTTGCCATTTTTAACACTGGCCTGTACACTTCCTGTGTATTCTGAAAAAAAAAGGCCAGATTTAAGCGGTTGTACATCAAAAGAATCTGATGCCTCCTCTATTTAAACAGAAATTCTGAAACTTGTCTTTTTTTCTATTTTTGCACTGCAGTGGATCTTCTGGGAAAGGACCGTTGAAGTTTAAATAGCTTACCAAGGCTAAGCTGAATAACCAAATATGAAATGACATCACCCTGATGTGAAAGACAGCAAACAATGTCTTCCCTTTTCATTACCTTAGGATTCATCTAAAGATTCTGAAGATGTTATGCAAATTTATTTTAGCATATCAATTACACATATGGCCCAGGCTTTTCATCCATTTTTTCCCACTGCTGAATACCTGAAATACAATCTTGACTAAATATTTACCAAAAAGAAGAGTCCACCAATTCTTCAGCTGACAGAGGAATGATGGTGTAAATTTGCAACTGTTTTGCCCGGTAAGTAAATGGAGCAAAATAGATAAATATAAAAAAACAGCAAAATATCAGGGGCAACAAGGCTTTTACAAGATATTAAAACAGATGCATTTACAATGCTGATTTAATAAGATTGACACCAGTGGCCACAAGTAAGAAAATAAGGCAGCTTGAGGGCATCTGAGCATGCGAGCAGGTGATAAAGTATTGAGCTGTCTGGGGACCCACTCCTTTAAGTCTTAATAGTAGAGCTGAAAAACAGGGGAGTTTATATAAAAGCTGGAGGGTCACTAAGGGATAATTCCATTGCTTTTGTCCCCCTCTGCCAGCATTTTATGATGGGTTCATCTGTGTTGTGACAGGTGTGTGAAGTGGGCATCTTACTAGGAGTAATTGCCATTTCTCTCCTGGGTCATTGTTTGTCCCTTGGCCTGAGAGGGGAGAGGGGAAGGAGAGAGACGAAAAAAAAGAGACCCATTGAAAATTAAGAATTTAGGTTGTTACTGTGGCGAAGCTAGAAATGAAAGCTCACCGAGTCACGTTTTTCTCGAAGGATCATCATGAAGTTTTTGCAATTCTCTGCACAGCTCCACTGATCGTGTTGCCTGGTGTCCATAAGAGACGAGTGCAAACATGCTACACTTCAGCCTCCGCACTTTTGCTCGAGCAGACTGCTGTGGCTTTGCTGCAGAAGCCATTACAGTGCCACTGAGAAGAACCATAAAGGTGATAAACAGCTGCGTCCTGCTAAAGAGCACGGCGGCTGCTTGTAGATGATTTGTTTGCGAGTTCAGATTCCCGTTGGCCACTGATGTTATGCAGCACTGGCACTGGAAAAAGTGGATAGTTCACCCAAATGTGCAAAAAAAATAATAAAAACAATCCTGCCCAGTTGCACTTTAAGACAGCAGAATCACATTCTTTTATTCTCAGTTTAGGAAAATATCCATTTCCAAATTAAATTTGATACTGTATTTAACAGTGGCATTTATGAGGAAATAAAAAGAAAATGCATGTACCAATAGCAGGATTATAAAAGCTGCAACATTTCCAGGCCAAACTAGACAATTGCTAAATAAATTTGCATGCAATAACAGCCATACACCCAAAACCCACACAAGAGGGATGCACACCTTTAAAAAACAAAACAAAAAAAACATTTACTAAAGTCAAAACAAAGTATTGCAGCAATTAGTCCATCAGAAAGAACAGAAGTTAAATGCACGCATCACTGACGTAGCTACTGCCACCTGAAGCTTTTCACTGCCCACCTTTGACTTTGCACCAATGTTGTCCAGTTACCTTTGCCGGCCAGACAATAACCAGCATTCCAGGTACACTCGTTGTCACATTTTCATTTGGTGGGAACGCTTCCAATTCCGATGTACCGGGATTGGCACCATCATGTAGTCATAAGGATAGCCAGACCAGAAGCCACCTACAGATGGGTTTACTGTGATAAGGCTACTAACAGGTAATCTGGTCTGAGCTTGAATGGGATGATCCCAGACCGGAGGGCCATGTTCTTCACTCTGAGAGTTGAAAGTGCCACGGTCGTACACCTTCTCTGTATAGGAAATTTCACCTGACTGGAGGTCTGGTTGAAGGAAGAGTGGTGGAGTAACAATAGGATAGCCAAATGCTTCAGGTCTTGAGGAAAACCTCTGAATTTTTCGGAATGAAGCTCCACCAGAAGGATGACCGGGAGGGGCAACTGCCCAGTTTTCTAAAAAGAAAGAAAGTGGGAAGTTTTTCACGTGGGGAAATTTACAAAAGGCTTAATGCTGGTCATTGTATGCCATCAGCAGCAGGCAACGGATGGAACATGCCGATTTCTTTGGACACATCTTACCTTCAGTTTGGGGAACTTGAAAGCCAGATAAACTTGCGGGGTGGATGCCATCATAACTCACATAGATAGGTGCAGAAACGGCATCAAAGCTGTAAAGAGCAGGTGTAGGTCCAATTTGTGAAGTTGGTTGGGTGTATGCAGCTCGTTTGTGGAGAACATTAAGGAGATTTTGATTCGAGGCAGATGGGGAGCTTGCAGTCTCTTGAAATTCTGTGGTAGGTTCTTCGGTGTCCGAACCAGCAGTGTAGTCACTGTAACCAATGTGGGGATCTAAAACCCAAGTATTTAAAGAAGTCAGAGAAAGTGGTTATGGTGGCGGGGGAGGGAGCCATTGGAGAGAAAACAAAAAAAAAGAAACCATTTTACCTTTCATAGTAGGAAAGCTGTAACTTGAACCAATCAACAGAACACAAAGCCACATGCTGCTAAACAAAGCAAAAACAGAAAGACATGGCTTTAAATGGCAATCAACACTCAAAAATAAATACATAGTAGCCCACTTACTCACCCTAAAGCATTGAAACCCACCATCATGCTGGATAAGCTGCTGTACTGCCACTTAAAAAACAAAAAGAAAAAAAGGAAGAACTCAAAATGGCTAGATAAGCATTGCAAGTCGACATCACTCGCCAATCAATGGATGAGAAGCCAACAACACACAGCTGCTTGACATTAATCTAAAACCGGATTGCCAATCAGAAGTGAGTTTTTCCTTTAAAATGGTTACTCATTGTCCTGTGAGAATATTTAACGTGATGCTACACTAAATCAAAGTTATTTTCCAAGTTTTAAATCATTTTACTGATTAAACATGGTGCAGGTGGTCATTCACACTATCTTTTTACAAGTACAGCCAAATTACCAACAAAGCTGCTCTCTTTTTCATACTTTTCTGCTTTCTGTCAGATGGCTAAATGCATCAGAAAGTGTGACTAAAAAGCAGCCCAATTAAAAGCCTTTCCAGATTGTTACTCTAGTCTAAAAAAGTTCTGCTTTAAAAATATTGGAGATGTCTTCATTTAAGTGACTTTAATTTGGAAAAAGAAAATGGTTCAACTTCCATATATGATGTTTAGAACTCAATGAAGTTGCAGAAAGTGTGTTTTCACTATGGCATCAGGAACAATGTCAATGACTGTTTTCAATTCTCAAGGTATTTTTTTTCAATGACAGAATTACACCAATTGAACTCTTACATAAATTCTATATTATGCTCTGCTTTGAATTGGTAACAAAAAGAGCAAGATATTTCAATTCATGAAGGATAACAATTACCATAGATCTTTAATGAAAAGTGTGATGACAGATTTGGATTGACTACACTCCAAAGTTTTCTGCTTTTTGCAGCAACCAACCTTCATGGCATATTCAAAAATTCTTAAAATTATGTGATGTTCAATGTCAATCTCAATTTCTCTTGAGTGAACTCAAATATGGTCACATTTTTAATTGGAGTCATACAATAAAGGGAAATAGAAAAGCAAGTTTTTAAATTACATCAAGCTAACAGTTGTAATCAAGGATTACTGCGAGCAGTGTCCAACTGGGCAGGTTCCAGGAAGAACCTGGAAAGGACCAGTCCGCAAGGAATCAATTTTTGGCCAAATCCACTGACTAGTTTTATCCAGTCACTCCACCAAAACCGTAACCAGCATGTCTGCTGCGCTGCTGTGGCGTTTGGCTGAAGTGATTGCCCTCAGATTGCCGGATAGTGGCAGGAACATCCGGCATGTTCAGCGTGTCATGCCAGTGGTTTTTCCCGTGCTCTAGACTGGTGCTGGAGAGCACATATGTTCCCGGGGGATGCCGCCTGGCCAGCAACATGCGATCAATATATGGATTGCCAAACCAAAATCCATCCACAAATGGGCCTAGACGAAACAGGTTACCCATTGGACGGTTCACTGGTTGAATGGGGAAGTATTTCGAGGGGGCTTCTTCTTTTGTTTCAGTGTCGTAGATGCCATGGTCATAAAGTTTCTCCATGTAGGACATAACGCCTGGATGAGCAGATGAAGACCCTGGTAGCTTCTCATGGCTGAGACCAAGAGGCTTGCGGTTCGCAGTAAACTCTAGCAAGTTGGAAGATGAGGTTCCATCAGGATGATGAAGTTGACCTCCCCAGTGGTCTAAGGGTAAAAAAAAAAACATGTTAATCACAGCAAGTCTACAAGCAGAGGCTGATGGCTAGTTATAGCAGTCCATTGTCCCAGTAAAAAGAAAATTGAAACACACTACATGGTTAAGTTACATGATTACTTTGAAAACTTGATCATGCAGAAACTATGGGAGAAGTGCCATCATATCATAGAGGTACAGAAATAACATTAAACAAAGAAAGAGCAGGCATGGGGCTCAGCTTAGTACTGGGTTGGATGCATCTGGGCTCCTTGTGGAGCCAGTTTGATTGCTGGATTTTAGGTAGCTGCAAAAATCAGACTGTTGTATGTATAAAAAGGGACGAGCAACTACTTTCCAGGGACAACCTTTTTCATTAGCTTTGGACCCAAAGCGAAGCAGCAAGAGAAAACATTAGCATAAGCAGGCAGGGGTGGTGGGGCATAGGAGGAAACAGTTTTAATTTACCTGTCTTTGTAGGATAACAATTACTTGCACCAATGAGTATGACAAGGAACCACAACCTATTGGGGTAAGAGGAAAAAGAAATTTAAAAACCCATCAAAACAGAACAAAAGCATTATGCCTCGCTACTTACTCTAAAGGAGCCAAACAAGCCATCATGACAGAATGTCCAGCTTATTGCCGCTATTATACCTATACCTTGTGAAGGCCTCACAAGTGAGGGACACTGACCAATCAGAACCTCAAGAATGAATTATACACAGCTGCCACACATTACTAATGATCAAGGTAGCTTCCCAATTTGGAAAACATGAATCAACGTTCATCAGTTTGCTTTCTTAGTACATATTTGATCAGGGCCACCTTACAACTGGATTATCAGAGAAACTAAACTATTGTTATCATTTCACTTTCTTTGAAGTAGTTTATTTCTGCTTCCATTTACTTTCTGGTTTGGTTGAATTACTTGAATCACCTGGCCAGGTTTTTCCAATAGGCAGCTGCTGGGGATCACGCCATGGTAACAGCATTTACTATACTACTATTTTTTTCTGATAAAAAAACATAGCTTCGTGGGATGAGAAAGGCATAAAAATCTTGGTGAATGCAATTGTTGGGAATTGTAGTGCCCAATGTCTTTCATCTAACTGTTCAGCACTCACACTAAGTTTTAATTTGGTATACATGACAATATATTGGGAAAAGGCTGTAGTGTACCATCCAAGAGACCTACAAAGTGCCCATTTCAAATATGCTATGGCACTTATTGATCTCAGAGTCATATTTAGAAGAAAACATTGACATGAAGAACATATCCTGTCGAAAAAAGCTAAACCACGCAACTATATGAGCAAGCTCAATGTGTCTGATTGAGCACATCCCTTCATTAAGATCTCACTCCTCTATAGCCCAGCTTGAGACTGTGCCAAATGTGCCATGGTTCTGCATTGTGACAATTTCCGGCTCTTCAGATGTGCATTTCCTGGATTTCTAATCAGAATGCTATTTTGTATCTCAAAAGGGGCTCCCATTCAGCCCAACATTAACAGCCCTCGTCTGTGATAATGTGGATGCTTCGGGGCCACAGGCCACCAGCTGCATCCACTTGTCAGTCTTTGGTACAGATGCCCTGTCTGTCTGCCGTGTGAATGAAACTCATGGTCTAAATTGGCACTTATTGTTCTGATGATTTTATGTACGCATTTTAATATGCCTCATCCAATTCCTTAACATGGTTTAATTTTATCTGCAGACAGCTATTTCGTGTTTTCTAAAATGAATAAATGGAAAGCTCCTGTCCCTCTTGTAATTTATGTCTTTGAGTGGCCGGTGGAGACCAAATGGAAAACCTCAAATGCTCACAGGCAATTTATCCAAATCTGCAGAATTTGCAGTGCATCATATTAGTTTCTCATACAAATCAAATGAAGAGAACTCAATTATGATGGATCAATAATTCAGCATTCTCAATTATGCTTTAATTGTGAGAAGCAATATCATCCAATCTTATTGTGTGGATAGGTGTTGTTGCTCTGCAGAGCTTTAGCTGATTGTTTATATGAGATTAGGGCTGTGTATCAAGGAAAAGATCAGGCAATGTCACCGAGCCTTGGATAGCCGGCAAGTGACACGTGCATAAACACACTCAGGCACGCGTTCAAATACACTCCAAAATACACACACGCGTGCTTAATGGCACAAACACATAACATAAAGCCAAATGCTGCCACTAAAATTTGCATGGTGCTCAGTAATGCATTAGTGAACATCACTTGGCAATCTGTTCATACGGGCTTAATTGGATTTTAATACCGCCTCTGATCTTGTTTTCTAATTAACGGCGGTGGCTGGCAACCAAGCAGAACCATGCACCCAGCAACACCTTTGATCCCGGCCATATGGAGTTCCTCCAAGCACGCCGGGGATGTAAAAATCCCTCACCTAGACGTGGGCGAACAACAGGCCCCTGAATCAAAATGGATGGGGTGAGGAGAATGAAGGAGGGTGTAGGATGGGAGGAGGGTGCAGCGGGTGGGGGGGGGGGGGGGGGCGGCGCACAAGGTGGCAGTGGGGGTGGGCAGTGGGCATGTGTCATCTACACATCCTGGTGGCATTGTTATTGATTAATTTCTCTCACAATCAGTTGTGATCACAGATACATAAAACAGGGGGGGGGGGGGGACTGAATGCCTGCATACCTTATCATCCATGCTGCCATTCGACACCCCTTCGTTGCCACAGGGAAATGTCAATAGCTTTTTTTCTAATCTGTTTACTTCTCCCCTTGTGGCCACCGCTTTATGCTTTTGATGAAGGGCTGCCAAAAAAAGTGTCCTTTTCTTACCCTTGCTTCCCTGTTTTTGGCAGAGTGTGGGTACAAAACACAAGATCAGAGCCCTCTGGTTCCCTCTCTTGCGATTATTTTCCTATCTGAAAGGATGCAATCTTCGGTATCAGTGCATTTTCTTTTTGGATTTTAATGGCAACTGACGCCGGGCAGAGACAAATGAGTGAAATATTGCGAAACCCTAAGAAGTATTTAACAACTTACCTGATCTGCAGCAACAACACTGTTACCCATGAACAGAACATTACACAGAAATATAGACCAGCTTGTGGTAGCATCTTAGTTTAGGGATTTAAACATAACTCCGGCTTTTTTTAGCAGTCTTTATGGTCACCGGCAATCAGCGGTTTTCTCATTATATCCTTTTGAACAACCAAGGCTTTTTTCTTAACAGTAGAATCGGTACATTGGATGTGCTCCTGGCTACTTGCCATTAGCTGGAAAGGCTGGAGATCATCATTTCATTTAGTTTTTTTAGCAGTGTGGATGTAAATAAGTTTTTGACTCAGCGCAGAAGTGGTGAGGTGCTCATCACTGCCCCTGTCACCACTATTCATGCGCATGGCAGCCATGTTGGACTTTGACATTGGGACAGTTCTCGTGCATTTTAAAGCTGGAAATCAAAATTATAGCAGCAATTCAGGGGATTTTTCTAACTCAAAACGTAAAGTCAAATGGAACTCATAAATAGTGGCCAGTCCTTCATACAAGTTCTCACTTGGCTAAAAGACATTTCCCCTTGTAAATAATTTTCTGCACAATCAAAACAATTATTCAAAGGAAGGTATGGTGAGTTAAAACTTCCAACTAAGTACTGAACCTTTTTTTTATAAACAAAAGAGTGCTCCATAGAGATTTGCATGATGGCACAACATAAACAGCCGAGGAAAAAAACACAAGTCTTAGATGTCACATATTTATAAAAGACAGGTTAAACCTCTATTAGAAGCTTCTATTAGGTGTGTGATGTTGTCAGCAGTTTTTGAGGAACCGGATTTGCTTCCCCTCTGTGTGCAGCCGACGATGAGCATTTCTGCTGCCCGTTGAGAGAGGTCACCAGTAATTTACCTCCATATATGGTTATGAATTTGAAAGCAGGTGAGAGTAATGATAATACACAAGACAATATGGCAGCCATCCATGCATGGTGATGTTAGTTAGCTCAGCAAGCTGTCATTTTACTGCTGTCTGACAGAAAGAAGCTAATTAACTATGCATATTAATTAAAAAACCTGAGATCCACAACCACTGATTGACAACCAGGAGGGTGGTATTTCTAAAGGGTGTCAGATTTCTGCACTTCTGACAGTTTCAGTGTTTTAGTGTAAGCCTGCATTAACATTCCCTATTAGAATTAATCTAGGTGTGCTAATTCTTACATTGAAGTGTATCTTTAAGTGTCGATCGCGGCGGCAGCAGCGGCTCTGATTAAAGACGGCATAAATCGACGCTGGCACTTGTGTTGCTGTTTTCCAAATCACTCAGAGACTCTGACATCAAATGTCCTTCTGCAACAATGGCAAAGAAGAGGAAAGGCCTAAGAGTCCCTGCACCAAAGACTGCACCAAAAATAATGATGCTTATGCAGCTTATTTGTCCTTCAAAAGATAATTATTTGAACAACATTTGTGTGTATATATATATATATATTCTTTTTTAAAGAGGACTCTGACTGTATCGTGCCCAGATAACGACTAGAGATGCATTAAGACTGAAGTAGAGTTTCTAATGAAGATGCTTGACAAGGCTTGAAGGCCTTCTACTTCTATTATATGGAACTATTTCTTTTGATGAAAAAAGAATTCCTTGCCCTCCTTAAATTATCAACTTGTCCTTCGACCTCAGCACATCGCAAAGTTTCTCATCTATCAAAGACACTTTTAAGCACACTGAAAGCTGCATTTGCTTAAGTGCAATGTTTGATTTGAGAGTCCTTTCTTTGAAAAACTTAATGGATGGCAGGAATGGAATGTGGTCGGGAGATTTTTTTAAAACAATAACAGGCTAGTGTCTACCTCATACCGGCGCAGGTGGATGTCTATCGTGTCAACATAACAGCCACTTGAGAAAAGCAAGTTGCGAGCACTTAAGGAAAGTGGCATCGAGTAAACATTTAGGCACCATGGCAGTTGTTTCACAGCAACTTGTCTCAACATCTCTGATAAACCCAAGGAGTTCAATCCACTAAATATCCTCATTATGTATTTGACTTTTACATATTATTGTGATGTCACTTCCAGCGCAACATTTTACGCTCTGAGGTTTTCCAGCAGTTCTGATTAAAAGATTCCTGTCAACGAAAAATGACTCCATTTACAGGGAAACTATGGGCAAGAGAGCTTGTTCTAAGGTAAATAAAGCGCTACACTTCTATTTGCATGTTGTTTTCATTTATAAAAAGTACAGTGGCACCTATGGTGTTTTTCAGAAGAGATCGCTTGGCATTAATTAAATAACTTTACAAGGGGTGTTTTAACCGCAGGCTTTAAAGAGCATCCTCATTAGAATTTGCTAAAGGAATCAACTGTGCCGCAGCAATAACCAGGGACATATTCAGAGAAGCTCCCTTGCTCTGTGTTTTCATGTTGGCAGTGCCCTCCACTGTCAATCACGGCTCTCTATAAGGTGTTGGGAGTTGAGAATGGGGCCCACAGCATTCGTACCATTTTCAGACCTGTCAAACTGTTCATTAAGGCCCTTGTGCCCTGTATTGTAGAAAAGTACATTTCGTATTTCTCCATTCATTTCAATTCAGTCTTCCCTTTGCCATGGACTGAGTTAGGATATTTAAGCTAGAAGAAAAAAAACTGCC